TTGATTCATGAACTTAATGGATTGCACTTTATAATTAGTCAGTGAATAATTGATAGAATAAAATATTAAAATATCATTTTAAAACAATGGAAACGTCGGAATGTATGAAAGATAAGACAACTTGGACAATGTGGGTGGAGGACTCCCACTTGCAAATGCCTTGGAAAGAGCGGGACCATGAAAGGACCCTTTAAAGTTTAAANAATCAGTCGATCGTCAATGTTAGTGAGTGAGAGAGAGACGATTGTCGTCGAGTATCGACTGAAGGGAGTGGAGGGTTTGACGGGCTGTGGAAAACAAGTGTACAAGTTTTAGATATTTAGTTTAATAATATATATATTTTTTTGCAAATAAAGACCTAAATATATTGTTCATGTGCCCTTATACCTTTTTAAAATTTGAGTAATATCTCGTCGTATCTTTATGCGTATCCTAGGCATATCTCACTCGTATCTAAAACATATTCGATCGTATCTGGTACATATCAGACGTATCTGGTACATATCCGATGCATATCCAACACATATTTATATTCAAAAATATTTGATACAGATACTTTGATTTTTTTTAAATATCCGTGCTTAATATGTTCACAGTGGTTTATGTCGGCGGCCTTGATTCTGGAAGAAGACTGGTTGGTCCTTTCTTTGCTTTGCCAGGGTTCAGTAGCACTTCGTGGAACCGAGGTTGACAGTGATGTTTAAAGTTTAAACTACTACCCACCAGTATTACTTTTTCGTCCTCAGCTTCTATGAAAATGCCTACTCACCAGAGAATCCAAATCCCCAATGAATTAGATTTGGGGTTGACAATTTCTTGCGACACATTGGTACAATACGGGGTACGATTGCCTTAGTTTTCGATACAAGCTTGAAATAATCTTATCTTGGTGATAAACAAATCGAGTTAGTATTAATCTTAAATAACTTAATTTTTACACGATAAATACGTTTAATTAATAAAAAAAATTACAAAATTTGTTTATGTTTTTAAAGCCTATATTAGTTGATTCATTGTGAGAGAATGGAATTCGAGTTGTGAATCTCGAGTTCACAAGTTATATCTCTCAACTCAAACACGACACAGTTAATAAATATATCAAGTTAATGTAAAAAAAATTGATAGGACTCACTCATCTAAATGATAATATACATTTAAATTACAAATTTTTAGATTTCATTTAAAATGTATAACATTACTCAAAAAGAAAAACTGCGAAAATTCTAGCATTGCCTTGTATAACTCTAAATGTCTCATAATTTAATCAAATCACTGCTAAATTAGTTGTTAAAGCTTCATTGCAATGTATTTTTGTTCTGTTTTTCGATTGCTTGTGTAATTGCATNAATTACAAAATTTGTTTATGTTTTTAAAGCCTATATTAGTTGATTCATTGTGAGAGAATGGAATTCGAGTTGGGAATCTCGAGTTCACAAGTTATATCTCTCAACTCAAACACGACACAATTAATAAATATATCAAGTTAATGTAAAAAAAGTTGATGGGACTCACTCATCTAAATGATAATATACATTTAAATTACAAATTTTTGGATTTCATTTAAAATGTATAACATTACTCAAAAAGAAAAACTGCGAAAATTCTAGCATTGCCTTGTATAACTCTAAATGTCTCATAATTTAATCAAATCACTGCTAAATTAGTTGTTAAAGCTTCATTGCAATGTATTTTTGTTCTGTTTTTCGATTGCTTGTGTAATTGCATTCCTAGATCAAAAAAAAAAAAAATTACTAGAATTATCAATGATCACAAACTCTTATTAAAAATCAAAATTTTAAGACAGGTTACCATTCTTTAATGGATACATATATCAGATACGTGTGTTGATTCATGAACTTAATGGATTGCACTTTATAATTAGTCAGTGAATAATTGATAGAATAAAATATTAAAATATCATTTTAAAACAATGGAAACGTCGGAATGTATGAAAGATAAGACAACTTGGACAATGTGGGTGGAGGACTCCCACTTGCAAATGCCTTGGAAAGAGCGGGACCATGAAAGGACCCTTTAAAGTTTAAAGGCCAAAAGTTCCAAATTTCATGCCTCAGTTTGACCTTCCCATACCCATCACAGCGAGGCAAAGAAAAGTCCACAAGACGTGTAGTTTCTCGGACTATGTTTGATAATTATTTTTGTTTCTATTTTTATGTTTTTATTTTTAATTTTTGACAAAAATAAAAATAAAAATATGTTTGATAACTGTTGTTGGTTTTATTTTGTTTTCGTTGTATTGGAAACAAAGACAAAAAAATAGAAACAAAAAAGAAATGTTTCAAGAAACACCCAAAACAGAGAATTAATGAAATCCCGACTTCGATTCCTTTTAACAACAAAACACACATTTTTTTGGTTGAAATATAAAAACTCATTTCCCCACTCTCTCTTTCCCATCGCTTACCCCCTTGTCTCTCTCCTCTCTCCCTCATCTCTTCCTTTTGCATCGCTGCCTCCAAATGAGGTGGGTTTCGACTCCGTCATCGCTGCCTCCAAACGGTGTGAAACTCACCTCCATCGCTACCTCCATCTCTCTCTCCTCTCTCCTCTCCCTATTCTCTATGAAACCCAGAATCGCCATCGCTGCCTCTAGATGATGTGGGTTTCGACTCCCTTATCGCTACCTCCAGACAGTGTGAAACCCAGAATGTGTGAAACTCACCTCCATCGCTACGTCCATCTCTCTCTCCTCTCTCCCAATTCTCTATGAAACCCAGAATTTGTGCATATATATGCACAAATCTCTACATATATACACAAATTTGTGTATATATATGCACAAATATCTGTCGCGTGTGTGTGACTGGCCATTTGGTATTGTTGAATTTGGGATTAAATTGTCAATTAAGATTAGATCTGTGTATATATCATTTGGGATTAATTGTTATTTGTAACTAATTGAATTTCTATTTGGGATTGATGAATTGTCATTTGAAATTTAATTACCAAATAGATATCAAACATATTTTGGATAAAATTTAAAAAAGTTACCAAACATATTTTTTGTTTTTATTCTCATAATTTGATATACAAAAATGACTCCCAAACATGTTTTTTGTTTTAGTGTTTATCACAAAATAAAGACAAAAAATTATCTGTTTTTAATTTTTTGAAGACGCAAAAATAAAAATATTACCAAACGACCCCTCAATTCTCATGATGTAGACGACAAGTGAAAAAAAAAAACAATTTTGGCCGATGGAGACCCATACACGTGGGTACAATCAAGGTCTACCAAAATTAATATTATTTTTTAACTTTAGGATTAGTTCAAATAGTAATAAAAACGACATATAAATTCAAATGTTCAGACTTTGAATATTGAAACTTTTGTGCTCAGGTTGTTATTTTTCAGTAATATCCTAGTCCCGATATAGATGATCTGTCTTTGACTAATTGAAGAGGGGATTAATTGAGAGTGCGTATAAACTGATCCAAACACTTTTGACTATTGAACAAAAAAAATTTATATTTTTAAGTTTGTATCAAGTTTTATTATATTATCTAGAATTTTTATATAATAAAATTATTTTATTATATTATCTAGTATCAAGTTTATTTTTTTTATTAATAAACTCTTTATTAATAAAAAAGAAGGGAACCTAATTACCTACCAAAAAAAGATAAAACTAGTTTTCATTTTCTAAACTGCATGTCTCCCAATCTATCCTCTCAAGTTTTCCATCAGCAAATTTGTTGGTTTTGTACGGTGGATAATTAAAACAAATAATAGTTATTCGAAAATAAGAAAACAATAAAAATATGACACAAAGATATATAACACATGATTAAATATAGTATACCCACCTTAATACACAGTACCTACATCTACAGACCAAAAATCTATATCAATGTATTATTTACAAAAAAACTAGTCATTTGGTAACTAATTACATTATACACATCCAAAATATTGTAACCGAAACGTATTCATATACAACTCGATCTTTATGTTTCGTATTACAAGTCTAATATGCCAATATATTAAAACTCTTTTAATATAATTTAATTCTATATAAGATTCTCACATTAATTGTCTAACAAACTCTCTTTCATGACAATTAAAGAGTTTAACTCAAATTCCAACAAAATTAATCTCACTCTCGCCACTGTTGATTAATAAAAATAATAAAATGAGACAAATTTCAATTTGACCCCCAATGGATTGGACATGTAACCCTTTATCCCCTATGATTTTCTTGAAAATAACCATCTCTTTCTTTTAAAGATAATGGCTTAAAAGTCAGCAGTCCTCTTGTCACTCACCATATCCGTAGTAAATTTGAGAAGCAGCTTTGCCCCACTGGAAGTGCCATTTGTCATCACAAAACCTCAAGTTGGAAAAATAGTCCAATATATGAAACTTTCGTCACTATTGTGTTTAGAAAGACTTAGATGTGCACGCGCGTGTGTATGTGTATATATATATATATATATATACCTATTTACTGACAATTATTGATGTTGGTTTTATCAAAAGGAGTAAGTGAGCTGATATTTTAGATTGGGAGTGTGTTTAGAGACTGCAGTAATCTTAGATATGTTGCACCTCATATGAACTACAAGCCACCACCAACCTGATTCTGGATTGACATGGTGAACAACATTCACCATCTCTAGCTGTTCAGCTCTACCCAGAAGATTAGTACCTGGAATTTAAAGGGAATTAGAAAAAGGATAAAGATTTGGAATTTTTATGCAGAATGTAGATAAATCCATTGCTGTCGTTTTAAAGCGCAGAATAATAAGCCAAACTCATAGCAGTAAATCAGAATAATGTAGTTGAAAGTTCCCAAACTGTTGCCTTTACTCTCATTGCTAAGATACAGTACCACTGGATTTCAATTTCTTATCATATACAAGTCTTTCACATGAGTTTCTGATGATTAAAATAACAAACTATCTTCAATTTTGGGGGAAGAAATCATGTTACAATTTCCTTCTTTTGGTTGGCGGAGAGAGGGGCAAATAACATTCATTCATTGATAGGTTGGACGAGAAGTACCATTCTCATCGTCATCAAGATTGAGTTTGACTCCATTGTTCTTAAGGGCATTTACAATGGCCCAAATCTTTGTTTGGTTCTTGAAACCTTTCTTTGCAATCTCCTTGTTCACATCAGCATGGATCCCTCTTCCCTGACCTTGCTCAAGACCCTCCACCTTCAGCCGCATTGCCAACACTTCTCCCACGACTGCTGCTGCCTTTGCATTGCAAGACCGGCCACACTCAAGTGAGCTCTTGAGTGAATGTTCAACTGTTGATGCTGTAGCAACAATCCGTCCATTGTTTCTGTCTACCACATTTGCAGTAATGTACTTCAATGAGATAAACAACCTTAGCACGTACCTCTTCAAGACCGTCATCCTTTACAGAAGCAATTAATCAAATTTAAAGGTAATAAACAAAATCGGCAAGAGAAAAAATGAAAACACTTGTCTGTCTTCTACCTATGTCAGCCATAAGCAAGGACTGAAGGCCAGGCTCGCATCTAATCTGATATTTAAGAGGTAATTGTAATTGCAAAGAATAATCTGCTCCTAAAAGGGGTAAAATCTGGTGCACAAGGCTCTGGCCAAACTTCTCAAATTACTCCCAACATTTTCATGTAAAAGAAGAATGCCAAATTTATCGCATACAGTTTAGTAACTCCTGACATTTCAACACATGCATTGACTTTCTGATATTCTAGATTTTGCTCTCTGAATTTGCCCTTGGGTTTCTCAATAATTTTTATTGTTATCACTACTTCCATTATCGTCACTATAGTTTCTACACGGAATCCCACTTTGTAAAGCTTATTCTAGATCCCAAACTCAACCATACATCCTTATCAGCCAAAATCAAGGACACAGAGAAATCTTCAGTCTTCCACCCTTTACAAGATGTACATTTCTAGAGCCATCTTATCTCAGTTGTATCTACAACATCCACGGGTTTACCTTAATCTTATTCCATTATCAGGAGTCAATAAGATAAAAGAGAGAATATGTGCTTATAGCAACTAGGTTGATGTTGAAAAATCCACTTCAAAAAGGACCATGCTTTATTCCCAACTAATCACCAATAACTGAAGATCCACCTCTAACCATTTAGCTACTCTTAGGTCTCTACTTAGGTAACCTTTCCCCAGTGAAAAAATTTGCTTCTACAAATAGCTGGCAACATATCCCCACGAAAACAACCAAAGTATTTGAGCTCACGTCTTGGCTAGTTGAATTTATTAGACACACAAATATTGAAGTGATTTCCTCAACGTCTAGAAATGATAGTTTTCTCCTACTCTGGGTTAAATGCTCCATGTTCTGAGGATATATTTTATGATCTGCTTGCTCAGGGAAGCATTTCTACAAGGCTAGCAAACAATTTTGGAACATCACAATGACCATCGGATCAGTTTTCCACCCATCTTGATTACACGAGGGCATAACAAGCGTCATGACAACATCCAAAGGTGACCTTTGGATTCTTAAGCAGCGGGGCAAGGAGAAGCACGTAGGCCGACCACTACATAAGCCACTAGTGGCTGAGAGAAAGTGGGCAGCACCTTGTCTTGTATAGGTTGGGCGGAGCTTGAAGAAGCGAGCCCTATCAGAGAAGGCCATTGTGCGCTAGCCTAGCTAGCTAACGTTTTTTAGCTGGCTGTTATGTTAATTGTACCGCGCCTTCTCTCACTTCGAAAGGATTTAGCAGTATTTTCTTATGATGACCTGGTCGAGAGAGTACAATATATCTGCGTAAAAGACTGAGTTGGATCTGTAAGGTCGGTTATAGGAAGGCCGCTCCATATCCCAAAAGTCTTCGATCCTTGGCATCTCAGGACGAATGCTTTTGGTTTCGCTTGATTCAAACCATATACATCGAGCCACTGCTTACGGCCTTCTTTAGTATGGTGACCTCATCCCTAATCTCTAAAGCTTGCCACCCCTATATATTAGTCAAGCTCAAAACACTTCAGGTTGAAAGTCATAGTGCTAATACCTAAAGTAGTAAACCAGATACCTACTACGAGGCACGCTGCTAGGAAGAAATGTAAAGAACAAGAGTTGTTGAAACTAGCATATTGGAAAATCAATCGGCTAAAATAACTATGAGTGGCTACGATATTTTAAGTTTCTTCCTCTTGACCGAATCTATAACCTTCATTAGAGATTCATTTTCTGTGGTTTGCCTGAACAAACTAGAAGTCACTTGAAGAGGCATATTCAAAAAGAATTGATTTATTTGTCTTATTTATGTTTATGTTTTTTTTTTCTATTTTATATATAAATTTTGCATTCAAAAACTAAAATATGGGGTCATGCTAAGACTTCTTTAGAAAAATATCTAACCATCTGTGTATCAAAGAAAAAGTATAGATTACTATGTCTATGTACCGACTGAACCAATGACTATTCATGATTCCATAACTGAATCAATTCCATAGCTTTTCCATCATCCAATCCACAACAAATCGGATGAAAGCCTGATACTTCTCGCCTACTCAAACATTATTGAAAACTACCATTCTGTAGAATCGGAAAAGGTTTCAAAGAGTGCAGAAGGTCAGTTCGGTGGTAAGATCTGAAAGGGAGATTCACGGGTAACTTCGGAGGGTGGAAAAGGAAGAGCTGGTGTGGTGCGTCAAAGGCCTTCACGCAATGCCGTGCACAAGGAAGGGTGGCAAGTGGGAGAAGAATTCCTCCCCTTTCAAGAAGGGTGCGGATATGGTCCATAGCCAAAAGAAGTCGTCGAATCAGAAGCAAGGAAGTAAAGCATGACATATTAAACGACTGTTTTTTGAAAAGTAAGAAAAGAGGATCCCAGAGACTAGATTGAGAAAAGCACATGCATTGGCTCACTCGAATAGATGATAGGAGGTGGAGTTCAAACCTTCAAACATCACCTTTGATAACTGAAAAGCCCCAATGCAGGACTTTTGAGCATAATATGTAACAAACATAACCATATTTCATAAAATCATGATGCTTGTATGATTAGGCCATAGTTTGAGCCAGGTCCCAAATCAACAATCTGGTTTTTGAAAGTACTGATGGATAACAACGCCAAAGTAACCTGAGACCTTAAATATGAGAAGAGGTACAAGGGCAGGGTAAGAACAGAATGAAAGGACACAGGAACAATAGAGCATATATATGAGAAGAGGTACGAGGATGTTAGTACAGGAGCAGGGAATGGGTGTGGAGATGGTAGAGGAGGCAGTGGATGGATCTCAGCGAAGGGAGGGAGAGGTTGAAAGGTGGTGCAGGGGTGACAGAGACTCTATATCAAAGATATTTGACCAAGCTGATCCCTCAGCTAATTAAGAAACATGATAACATTTAAGTTCCAGGATATATAATCTAAAAACCCAAAAAATTCATTCTTATTCCTCTTGTTTTGTTTTTTACAAGGAAAACCCCAAAAAATAATGCAATAAGTATTAAGATCTTCTCTCAGGAGAAGACTGAGGAAAGATTAATGCACATCAAACACAACTGACTTAGAATACATGCCTCTATGTTATCCTAGAAAGCACTCTGTTAGGATAAACTTTGAAAAGAAATAAATTAATTCGTTGTAGCAGTATTATGCTTCAATGGTAAGCCATTTGGATAAAAAGAAAAACCACTAACATCTACAGAAACATCAACACATTCCTTCTGTGCAGACCGTATAAGCATGGCATTGCAATAAAGGACCTTCATGGCAACAGAGGCTTTAAATCATAGTTGCTAAGAGAGTTGTTTTGAAGGGGCAAACCCAATTTTCAAAAACTGTTGTTAGACATTGGGACATTTACCATAGATGCACTTCTCATTATTTTCTATGTTTCTACACTCTTCAGCTGTATTCTCTAACAAGGAAACAACTATTCCTAAATATTTTTCTTATTATTTTTCTATGTTTCTACACTCTTCAGCTTTATTCTCTAACAAGGAAACAACTATTCCTAAATATTTTTCTTATTATTTTGTAAACAACAGGCTCAATCCCTCCTAGTCTACTACGAAAAAGGAGGTTGATTTCTGGTATATACAATTTAAACTTCCATCAGTCAGTAAAAGGATGTCTTCTTAGAAAAAGAGTACAAATACAACCAAGGATCAAAATTTTGTTTCGGTGAATTGTTTTGGTCATTTAGGAAACGAAAACGTTTCGACGTGTTTCAAAAACAATTCAACCCATTTCGGAAACATAATGAAAACATAAAAAATTTAAAAATTATTTTTCTAAAACATTAATTGAAATATAGCAAAATATTTTAAAATACCTTGAAACAATCCGAAATAATTTTGCAAATGCATTGAAATATTATAAAAAATCTCAAAATATTATGGAATACCTCAAAATATTAGAATTTCGATTTTATCACTAATTCGTTTTGGTCTTCTTGGAAACGGAAACATTTCAGACATTTTGACCGTTTCGAAACAATATTTTGATCCTTTATACAACCAAATCCAATCTGCAAGTTGAACAACCATACACCTTTCACCTTTAGGGGTGGGAAACTCAAGAGATGCACTCAACCTAACAGCTGGTGATCAGGAAACACATTCTTTCTTGAGCACTGGATGTTTAAGAAAATTCTACAATAGAAAATCAGTCCAAGTTGACCGTGGCTCAATCTGAGAAGCAGGTACAGGATTAATCAATTACCGCACGCACAGGTCCTCTAGCCAAACACATATTACAGGCATGGTGCTTTAAGTATTTGGTAAAATAATCTTCATAAAACAAAGCTAGTGTGCTTTAAGAATAGGAAAAAGAAACAACATAAAGAATACTTCATCATAAAGCTAATTCCAAAACAAACTTTTCATCCGAAATTTACATGGATCAATCAGGGAGGGAGAAAAATGAGAAACCAAAATAGCATAAAGCATGTACCTCAAACCTTTTATGTGAGGTAATCCTGTGGATCTCCTCAGCTTTTCGTTTGCAAAACCTCTAGCTACTTAAGCATCCAGAAACCCAGCAATCTTACCTGCCACAACCAACTTCAAGCAATTATGCCACATCCAGTTGAATCAAAGAGCAAGCCAGGAAAGAAACCTTTTTAGTAGTCTTAGTCACTCAGGTTGTGTGGAAATTTGATATAGTTGTCTTGAAGTAAATTGTGTTTTTTATTTGAATAAGCAAGTGTTTGAGCATAGCCTTAGGATCGCTAATGGCCTTTTTTGAAACAAAAATTTTCATTTACCAAAAAGTGCCCTCAAAAAAATTTTTCATTTACCAAAAAAATTTCATTGAATTGTTTTTGTTTTAACTGACTAAGGTCACACATACTCCTGTAACATAATGATACTCCCAAAAAAAGTGATTAAAGAAATTAAGTTCTTAGAACCTCATTTTGATCCGAAAGAGAGTCAAAAAGGCATGC